AAAAAAAAAAAAAAAAAGGCACATAGAGAGGGAGAGGCGATGAGAGAGTAAAGTAAAAAGGGCCATCAGTCTTGCAAAACATCTCCTGGAGTGGCCAGCCTCCGGGAGGGGATGTGTTAGTTTCTTCTTTCTTGCAGCCATTCACAGGTGCGTAGGGTTCCCTGAGGCAGGCCATTATGTATGATTATAATAAAAGCAACGAAAAGCAAAGGCTAAAGTCAAAGAAACAGATCCAACATGGAGTCAAAATTGGCTCTTCCCTGTTACACTGGGAGCGCAGTCTTGACCGCTGGACCACCAGGGACGTCCCGGGCCAATGTGTTTTAAGTTGATGTAAAACCTTTAAGGTATATGTGTGTCATTTTTATGATTTCTCCCTTGAACCAGTTCTTTGAATTACCTAACCAAGTGCAGACTATAGTGTTTTCGTGCAAGAGGATTTCTCAATCGGGGCTTATGGTGCAAACCCAGAGAGGTGTAGGTGACGGTTTGGGGGCTGTGGTGGTTCAGGCAGAAAAGGCTTCTCCTGGGGAGGTGTTGCAGCTTCAGAAGAGGTGAAGTCGGTGAGGAGCGACCCTCACATGCTGAGCTCACACTGCTTGGGGTCGAGGTGGGGCTGTGAACCTTGGGAAGAAGTGGGGTGTGGCAGTGCGGCTCATGAGTGGCAGCTGTATAGTTTTTATAACTAAAAGTCACAAATTTGTTTTTTGTTCTTGCCCGAAACAAAGGTACACATTTTCTCAATGTGCCAGGGCACTGGCGGTCCTAATCCCTTTTTAAGAAGCTGGTTCCTTAGCTGCTCCAGCAGATAGATGTCGCGGTCCAGAAATGTGAGGGGGCCTGTGTGGAGAACATTCACCCAAGACCCTCCCCTCCCCTGCCGCCCAGCAGTTGTCTTCTGTCAGTTTTGTGGTGATGAGGTCATGCACTTTATTCTGACCAAAATAACTTATTTTTATCTCAACTCTTGTAGTAATAGCTACCAAGAGTTAGGCATTCTCCACGTGCCAGGCAAGGAGTGCTTGTTTAGGTCTTGTCTTTTTTAATCCTCACAGCAATCCTACAAGGTGGCTGTTACCTCGTTTTTAGGAAGAAGAAAACAGAGATTTAAGTAACTTAGTCACAGAGCTAGCACGTGGTGAAGCTGGAATTCAAACCCACGTCCGCCTGACTCCAGGGTTATGAAGAATTGTATGGTTCTGGCTTACTCGCCACAGTCATCTCTGTCAAAAGGCTAAACCGACGCCCCTACCCCCCCCCAAAAAAAGAGGGGGTGGGAATTGAAAGTAGTGAGGGTACTGTTGTTTTCTTCCTTTTAAACAGCCTGCAGGACTTCCCTGGTGGCGCAGTGGTTAAGAATCTGCCTGCCAATGCAGGGGACAGGGTTTCGATCCCTGGTCCGGGAAGATCCCACATGCCTCGGAGCAACTAAGCCCATGCGCCACAACTACTGAGCCTGCGAGCCACAGCTGCTGAGCTCATGCGCCGCAACTACTAAAGCCCACGTGCCTAGAACCTGTGCTCTGCAACAAGAGAAGCCACTGCAATGAGAAGCCCGTGCACCGCAATGAAGAGTAGCCCCCACTCGCCGCAACTAGAGAAAGCCCACGCACAGCAATGAAGACCCAGCACAGCCGAAAAATAAATAAAATTTAAAAATAAAAAATAAATTAAAAACAGCCTGCAAAAGAAAGCCAAGCTGAACACTGGGGATCTTCTTAAGCAAAAATTAAAAACCCTTACAACATAATTTTAATTACACAAATAATACATGCTCATGACTCCACTGAAGGAAAAGCAGAAAAGAGCAAAAAGGGAAAAAAGGAAAATTAAAGTCACCCGTAATCCCACTAATCAGGGATCATCATTGTTAATGTTTTAGTGATATTCTTCCGTAGACAAAATCGGATCATGCTGTTAACATTATTTTGTAGTTTACTTTTTTCCTCACATAATGGACGCCTTCCAATGTTAATAACAGTGGCTCTCCTCATTATCTTATTGGCTACCAGATAACAATAATATTGAATATCTCATGGTGGGTCACATTCAGCCTCTGCTCCCATCTCATTCAGAATCTCTTTTCTCACCTGTAACAGGGACAATTTAAAGGGTTGTTTACCAGAATAAATAAGGTAATGTTCGTAAAGCTGTTAGCACAACGTGTGACAGTAAAATGCTCAGCCTACTACAACTAGCCATTATTATTCACTCATTTAAGAAATAATAATTTCTGGGGGGCTTCCCTAGTGGCGCAGCGGTTAAGACTCCGTGCTTTCATTGCCGAGGGCCCGGGGTTCAATCCCTAGTCAGGGAACTGAGATCCCACAAGCCGTGCAGCGTGGCTTAAATAAATAAATAAACTTTTTCTTTTTTAAAGAAATACTTTCTACCATGTATTGAGTGCTTACTTTGTGCCAGACGTTGTGCTGAGGGTTCATTGAATCCTGACACCAAACTGATGAGGTGGGTACTCTCATTATTCCCATTTCACAGATGAGGAAAGTGAGTGACCAAGAGGCTAAATATCTTATCCAAAAGCTCCAGAGCCGGGAAGTGGTGGATATCCAAACCCAGGCAGCCAGAATCCAGGACTCTCACACTTTCCCACCACATCACCCTCTGCCTTGGAGACATAAAAATATTTTCCTGGCCTATCCTCTGAGCCAGGCACTGTGCTAGGCCCTGGGGCTTTTACGCCAGTCCCTGTGCATGTTTCCAAGGTAGGCATGAAGCAGGATAGTAGCCAATTCTACTAAATCCTTATTAGAATGACAGAAACCCTGGCTGAGGTTCTCTCACCATCTTATCTGGCGATGTCCTTGTAGCTGTCTTAATCCTGTTGAGCCACAGTGGGCTGAGGGTGGGGGTAAAGAAAAGCCTTACTGCCCTGGTTGAGAGTGAAAAATCTTGATAATCTTGGGTTGTAATGACCTACCCTCACATGGCTGCCCCTCACCAGTGAGGCCTTGTGCTCCTTGGGAGCAGGGACGGGACTTCACTCCTCCCCAGATTTCTTTGATCTAGCCCTGTACCTGTGGCTCCACGTAGGTACCAAATAAATGGTGAATAAATTAATGAGCAAATAGATGAATGTGTGGGTAAATGACTTAATGAATGTGATAGGGAAGTAATGAATGAGCAGAGAAGGAGCCAGTGAGCAAGTGAATGAATGACTGCATGAATGAATGAATTCATCAGGGGGCTTTGGTCTGATCAACACTGTGAGGGCTGCTCTGAGAAGACCTCTATGACAATCTATGTGCACTCGGTCATAATGGCATCTGCCCCTGCCATGCCCATGAGAAGTGACTTCCTTTCTCCCCCCCAGATTTATTGAGATATAACTGACCTATAATATTCTGTAAGTTTAATGTGTGCAACGTGTTGATTTGATACACTTACATACTGCCTCATGATTACCACAGCATTAATTATCACTTCCAGCACCTCACATAATAACCATTTCTTTTGTTTGTGTGTGTGTGTGTGTGTGTGTGTGTGTGTGTGTGTGTGTGTGTGTGGTGAGGACATTTAAGATCTTCCTTTCTTATGACTGTTCCCCCCACGTCCTTACTCTTGGAGCCTATAATGGGTGGTCTTTCAGTTGCTATTGCCTCAACAAATTTCACCCCGCTTACTGCTGCTACCCTGGCTTCTGCAGACAGCCCAGGTGTAGCCATCCTCCCTGACTCTGAAGGCCAGAGGGCTCCAACACTGACCTCAGGGGATCTGGAATTAAACCTTAAACAGCACCCAGCAAGTCTAGAGATCAAGCCAGATGCCATTGTTGATCATGACTATGAGTAAATGCTGGTATTTCATAATTTCATCACCATATGTTAGGGAACACCCATAAATTGGGAGAGAACAGGGGACCTGCCTGAGTCGGGCAAGTCTTTCTTTTTTTTTTTTTTTTTTTTTTTTGGCTCCACCGCGGGGATGCGGGAACTTGGTTCCCCCACCAGGGATCATCGAACTCGTGTCCCCTGCAGTGGAAGCACGGTGTCTTAACCACCGGACCGCCAGAGAAGTCCCATCTCTTCTATCTTTCTATCTGGCGTCTGGTACAAAGTAGGCGCTCAACAGATATGAATTGAATGAGTCAATCCATTCAATGAATCCATTCAACCAATCACTGAGAGTCTCCCGCACAGCGGAGCCGGGATTGGAGGCCTCTCATTCCCAGAGGCCGCGCAGAGGGACTCTCAGTCTGACGAGAGGGGTGGTGCCGGCGACATTGTGTTGCCTACCCCAGGTGGGAGGCGGAGCTCGGGCACCACTAGGCGGGGCGAGGCGGGGACAAGGTGGGCAGGGCGGGGTGCGCGGGGCCGGAATGAGTGGGGCGGGGCAATAGCTACAAACCCGCAGGCGCGCTAGTCTGCAGAATCCCGGCTGCCCTAGCCGGCTTTTAAAGAAGACTCTCAAAGGAGTTAAAAGGGGAGAGAGAGCACAGCTTCAGTTAGCATGGCGCATTGCACGTGTTTACATCAAACACGGAAAACTTACAGTTTGCGTCATTGGGAGTTAATGGCAAAAGTCTGACTCTGGTGAGGCCTGTCCTTAGGGCTGTCCTGGAGCAAGGCCTCCGTTCTCTTTAGGAATAATAGCTGGCTGTAATTGAGCGCTATGCGCCAGACACTGTTGTAAACACATGAAACGGATTAACTCATTTAGTCCTCGTAACAACTCTATGAGTCATCTACTTAAGATCATCCCCATTTCACAGATGAGGAGCCAAGGTCCAGCAACGTGAAGAGGCACTTGGGTTCAGGTCTCACTACAACTCCAGCTCTTCTAAAAAGGGCTAGAAGACTGGGGTGAAGTTTGTTTGTTTGGGACGCGGGCCTCTCACTATTGTGGCCTCTCCCGTTGCGGAGCACAGGCTCCAGACGCGCAGGCTCAGCGGCCATGGCTCACGGGCCCAGCCGCTCCGCGCCATGTGGGATCTTCCCGGACCGGGGCACGAACCCGTGTCCCATGCATCGGCAGGCGGACTCTCAACTACTGCGCCACCAGGGAAGCCCTGGGGTGAAGTTTTGCAAAGCCAAGTGGTTGGTTTGTAATGACGCTCAAACATGCGTGCGCCTCAAAATCTTTGGTGAGGGGGAGTGCTTGCTCTAAATTCAGAGCCCCAGACCCCGACCTAACGCTGTCTGATTTTGCAGGGCTGTGGTGGAACACAAAAACCTGCATTTTGAACAGGCTCCTCGGTGATTTTGAAGAAGCAAGTTAGCCGATTGCATTTACAGCAATGTTAAATCACCCCTACCATACGCCTAGACGACCTCTGCGGAGGGTAACAGGGGCAAAGAGTTTGGGATAGGAGAGAGACTACTGATAATGTACCTATTAAAAGAACATCAACAAGCCTTTATTGCAGGCCCACAAAAGTGCCCCTTCTCCCCAGCGGCACCAAGTCACCGGGTTCCAGGCATGACTCCCGAAGCCGCCTAGCGCTCCCGTGGCCCCCGAAAACGAGGCACTGCGATCCCACCCCATGCCGGAGGGGGCGCTATTCAGTTTCGTTCCGATAGGAATGGAGCATTGCTTTCTTTCTGCGCTTGCGCGGCAAGGAAGCCTCACTTCCGGCCTTGCGCGCCCAGGGTCTGAAGCCTGCGGTCGCCAGGTAGGTGAGTGCAGGCGCTGCCTGCCTCCCTGGAGGAGGTCTCTCTGCGTGACCCCCAACCGTGCAGTCCGAGCCGTCCTCGCTCAGTTAGCCTCAAGGTCCCAGTGCCACCTTCGGCTCAGATCCGTTTAGTCAAGCATGTGCTCCCCACGCACGCCTTGCTCTGTGTAACACCCAGACCCCTCACATCCTTCATTTTCATTCAGTCGCCTTCTTCCGAGGCCACCTCCCTAGAGCCCTTGCGCAGGAATGGGAGAAGTGTCCCGGACGGAGAGACTTCCCCTGTACCCCATTGAGCGTCCCTTCGCTCTCTCCCTTGCCTTTCTTTGCAGACCGTCACCATGAAGTTCAACCCCTTCGTGACCTCGGACCGCAGCAAAAACCGCAAACGTCACTTCAATGTCCCCTCCCACGTGCGCAGGAAGATCATGTCGTCTCCACTCTCCAAGGAGCTGCGGCAGAAATAACAACGTTCGCTCCATGCCCATCCGCAAGGATCGACGAGGTCCAGGTACGTATCCTCCGGGCTCTAGTTATCCAGCTGCGTGGCGCTCGGGCGCCGCCTTTGCCTGAGAACGTCGAGTGTGCTTGGACGTGGAAGACTGGCAGGTAATGTGACCCTGCAGATGTGTTAGACCGGAGATGGGGCCCAGAGTCACCAGAGAGCGCCTGTCCAGCCTAATTTAGAGCATTCCAACTCAATTCTTTAATAATAATAATTTGAGAAATATACTGTCCCAACCAAGCAAAACTCTTGTTTTCTTATTTTGTTTGCGGAGGCTGCCAGTTTGCCAGGCGTTACCCAGGGTGGCTATTTGAACCAGACTTTGCAGGGTAGTGTTTTGCAATAAGAGTAAGTTCTTGGTATCATTGAGTTTAGTGGAAGCTGGGCATTTGATGGTGCTGGACTTGGCAGGGAGAATGGAGAAGCAGCAGCAAGTCAGAGGCCTGAAATTGTGAGAGTACGGCCCATGTGAGAAAGTATAAGCCGTCTGTTCTCTGTGACTGGAGCTTAGGATTAGGATGTGTAGTAGAGAGGGGAAGTGAAGGTGAGTAAAATTGACAGGGGCTATGTTCATTCCTTGAGGGAATATTTATTGAGCACTTACCAGGCAGTGTTTCCTAGAACACTAACAGTGCACAAGACCTACAGGCCCCTCTTAAAACCTCAGCACTATTGACTTCTTGGGCTGGATAATTTTTTGTTGTGCTGAGCTCTCCTGTGCACTGTAGGATGTTTAGCAGCATCCCTGGCATCCCCACTAGATGCCAGTAGCACCTCCTCACAGTTATGACAAGCAGAAATATTTCCAGGTATTGCCCAGTGTCTCTGGGGAGCAAAATCCACCCCTGCCACCCTCCCCCAGTTGAGAACCATTGTTTTAGAGAATGAAGTAAGGGATTTGGTGGATCACCTAAGGCACTGGGACTCTGAAGCTTTGAGGAGGAAAAGACTGGAAGCAGGGGATAAGTTAGGCTGAGATTGTGACAGGAATAGCATAGAAAAAAATAATTCAGAAGTATGGTTCAACCTCTTCTCTCCTGGATCCTTCCCATCAGTCATGTTCTACAATGGGGGGGGGGGATTACAAATGCCTCTAGGGTCTAGTTAGGCAAATTAAAGGAAGTGGGCTCTTTTAAGGGAGATAGTCATATACCCTCAGCCCATTGCTGCGCTAGGGAAATGAAGACTCTTCAGTTACGTTCAGTTGTTGTCAGATTCTTCAGTTTTGCAAGAGACCTGAAAAAATCTGGATTCTTTACTTTATAGAAACTGCTTTTGGCTGAGATCACCAGTAACCTCTTATTTATTTATTTATGTATTTATGTATGTATGTATTTACTTATGGCTGCATTGGGTCTTTGTTGCTGCCTGGGGCTTTCTCTTTCTTGCGGTGCGCGGGCTTCTCTTGTTGTGGGGCACGGGCTCTAGGCGCGTGGGCTTCAGTAGTTGTGGCACATGGGCTCACTAGTTGCGGCTCGCGGGGTGTAGATTGCAGGCTCAGTAGTTGTGGCGCATGGACTTAGTTGTTCCACAGCATGTGGGATCGTCCCGGACCAGGGCTTGAACCCGTGTCCCCTGAATTGGCAGGCAGATTCTTAACCACTGTGCCACCAGGGAAGTCCCCACCAACCTCTTTATGACTAAATTCAGTGGTCACATCTTGGTCTCACTGTCCTTGATTTTTGTTTTTGTTTTTTTTCTGGCTACATTGAGTCTTTGTTGCTGCGTGTGGGCTTTCTCTAGTTGCGGCGAGCGGGGGCTACTCTTCATTGTGGTGCACAGGCTTCTCATTGCCGTGGCTTCTCTTGTTGCGGAGCACGGGCTCTCGGTGCGTGGGCTTCAGTAGTTGTAGCACGCGAGCTCAGTAGTTGTGGCTCACGGGCCCTAGAGTGCAGGCTCAGCAGTTGTGGCGCATGGCCTTAGTTGCTCTGCAGCATGTGGGATCTTCCCGGACCAGGGCTTGAACCCTTGTCCCCTGCATTGGCAGGCGGATTCTTAACCACTGCGCCACCAGGGAAGCCCTGTCCTTGACTTTTTCAGCAGCATTTGGCATAGGTTGCACCACCTTACTTCTTGAAATAGCTTCTCTTTTTAGCTTCTGTGACACTTCAGGCTCACGATTTACTTGCAACTTCTCTGACTCCTTTGCTGGCTATTTCTCCTCTGCCTGCTCCCTAAATGCCGGAGTTTGTCACAGGGCCTGTACCTGGTCTTCCATTGGCTGGCCTACATGGTCTACCTAGGTGGTAATATTTATTCCTAAAGTTTTAAATGTCTGCTCTGTGCTAACACCTTCCTCTTTTACATCCCAGTCCAAACTACTTTTCTGACCACAGAGCTGTAGATCTAACTGCCTGCTGAA